AAAGATATACAGGCATATTCAGGGAATAAAATTGAGAGCTCAGAAATAAACCCTCATATTTACAGTTAGTTTATTACCAACAATGATGTCAATGGGCAAAGAAAAGCCTTTTCAACAACTGAGTTCTGGGATAGTTGAATATCCACATATAAAAGAATGAAGTTGGACCTCCTACCTCAAACCATATACAAAAATTGAATCAAAATGGATCAAAGACCTAAATCTAAGCACTCTTAGCTATAAAACAGTTATAGTTTATAATTTTTAAACTTGTAAGTTTATAACTGGGTTATAAACACCTATAAAACTCTTAGATGAAAACACAGGCATAAATCTTCATGACCGGGATTAGGAAATGATTTCTTAGATATGGCTGTGAAAGCACAAGCAACAAAAAAAAAAAATAAATTGGACATCATCAAAATGTAAAACTTTTGCGCTTCAAAAGACACCATCAAGAAAGTAATAAGACAATCCACACAATGGGAGAGAACTTTTGCAAATTGTAAGGAACTTGTATCTAGAACTCTTAGTACTCAATAGCAAAAAGTCAAACAACCCAATTAAAAAAATGGGCAAAGGCCCTTGCCGGTGTGTCTCCGTGGTTAGAGCATCGGCCCAGGCACCAAAGGGTCACAGGTTCAATTCCCGGTCAAGAGCACGTATCTGGGTTGTGGGTTCACTCCCCACCCCTGGTTGGGACATGTGCAGGAGGCAACCAATCGATGTGTTTGATGTTTCTCTCTCTCTCTCTCCCCACTCCCTTCCTCCCTTCCACTCTCTCTCTTTGAAATATCAATGGAAAAAATAGATCCTCAGGTGAGGATTAACAATAACAACCAAAAAAAATAGGCAAAGGACTTGAATAGACATTATCCAAAGGTGATACAAAATAACCAATAAATACATGAAAAGATGTTCAACATCATTAGCCATTAGGGAAATGCAAATCAAAACACAAATTCACATCCAGTAGGATGGCTATAATCAAAAAAACAGATAACACTGTTGCTGAAGATGTGGAAAAATTCGAACATTTATACCGTTGGTGGGAATGTAAAATGGTGTAGCCACTTTAGAAAATAGTCTGACAGTTCCTCAAATGGTTAAACAACAGTAACTGTATGACCCAGCAATTCCACTCCTAGATATGTACACAGAGAACTGAAAAATATGTCCACACAAAAACTTGTATGTGAATGTTCAGGAGCAGCGTTATTCACAATTGACAAAAATGGAAGCCCATTGCCAATCACTGATAATGGATAAATAAAAGTGGTAAATCCATAAAATGGAATATTATTTGACAATAAAAAGGAAAAACAATATGAACCTTGAGAACATTATGCTAAGAATATAAAGAAGCCAGTAACAAAAGACGAAATATTGCATGATCCCTACATGAAATGTCCACAATAGATGAATCCATAGAGACAGATATAACATTAGTGGTTGACTCTGGCTGAGGAATTGGG